ACACTTTCCCAATAACGGCCTGAATAATTAATTATCTCAGCAGACCTCTCCAAACTTCTTGCATAATACTGGCGTTTCATCTGCCTGTGACTCTGCACTATTATGCCTTTTATCCCGGGACTTTTGCTTCAGCAGTTTGTGGGAGTTTGGCTTGTGTGGCGCTTCTCGCACTGCCAGGGCTGCTCCTGGCAGTCAAGAGGAAAATGCCCGGCATAACTTTAGACCTTTTGCACCCTTTTCACTCCCTCAAAGGCCAGACAATGCATCTTTCAGGAACAAAAGCTCCAAAAGCAGGGTCCGAGCTCCCTTTGTGCAGTTTCCATCTAAAACATTAAATAATTAACTGAGCCTAATTTTCCTGTATTCATAATGCAACGAGGCATCTGGAAGCTGAAGCTGGCTTCATCCTGAGCTATTCTCAGAGCCTGGGAAAGTTACGTCTTTGGATGCCACTTCCAGATTCCCCTAGTCATCACAGCCAAATGGCTAGTTGTACCGGATAGTAATGTTTCCAGGCTGCAAGCATTGTTCTTGTCCCGTAGGAGAACTCTGAATAAAAGTGGTTTAGGATTTGATTTTTTTGTATGGAAGGTGCTTCAGAAATAAGCCTGAATATACATAAGGAAAGTCACCCATATTTAATGTTGGGTTAACCCAACTTTCTGTTTGAGTGACTGAGGGCCCTTCCACACAGCCGTATATCCCAGACTACCAAGGCAGAAAATCCTACACTATCTGTTTTCATCTGGGTTATCTGAGTCCACACTCAGATAATATGGGATTTTCTGCCTTGATATTCTGGAATATAGGGCTGTGTGGAAGGGTCCTGAGAAGCTTCTTTGTCTCTGAGTGGAATTGAACCTATTTATTTTTATTTTTAAATAGCAGATTGCAGCCAAAGAAACACAACAAGTCACATATTTGTCCTTCCCTCCCTTAACAAACCCAATGAATCACTTTAAATAGCTCTCTGAAATGTCAAGCATTTGCTGTTCAGCAAGAACATTCCGGTGGCCAGCAACACTGCAAAAATGGCAAAAGTGGTACATCAATACTGATCTCCCTCCTTGAGCAGTTGTATCTTTCTCTGTGGTTACCATCATTACATGAAACATTATTATACACTGTACATTATTAACCATTCTATATATTTTGTACATTATGAACAAGCCCATATAATTTGGGCGCAATAACAGGCACTAAAAATAATTACTTAGAACTATACATGATCATTCTTTTATTATTGATTTTGGAATTGGAATTACCTACTGACTTTTCTGAACCCAGCTGCTTTGGGTCTCTTCTAAGAGAGGAGTGCAAGACATAAATATAATAATAACGATAATATTGATATTCCCAAGTCATCTGATAATGCAAACCAAGTTCAGTGTAGGTTTATTTCTTGGCAGTCTTACCTACAGAAAACCTCTTTCCAAGTATAACATTACTCCCCTTATATGTACTGTTGGAGGCTTTCATGGTCAGGATCACTAGGTTGTTGTGTGTTTTCCAGGTTGTATGGCCATGTTTGAGAAGCATTCCCTCCTGATGTTTCTCCTGCATCTATGGTAGGCATCCTCTCAACCTCTGAGGATGCCTGCCTTAGATGCAGGTGAAACATCAGGAGAGAATGCTTCTCGAACATGGCCACACAGCCCGGAAAACGCACAACAATTCTCCTGATAGCTTTCAGGTTTGGCTACTCTCCTTTCCTGGAGGGAGTATTGGTGCAAGGAAGAATGCTTTGCATTGGTATACTCTTCCAGACATAAATAAGATTTAAAATAAAAAAGAAAGAAAATGCAATCATAAGAAGATACTTAAGGACATTTTTCTGCATGGCAGAGGGTTGGACTGGATGGCCCTTGTGGTCTCTTCCAGTTCTATGCTTCTATGACAATAAGACTTACTGAATGAATAAAAACTGCAAAAACGAAACATGCACACATACACAAGCACTACATGCAGGATGCTACGAGATATGAAATTTACAAGCCCTGTTGTCAAAGCAAGAGGGATATGGGTACATGTTCCACGTGCTAATCCTGTCCCAGGTGGGTTTCTTTGGATGCTGGCTGGAAAGAAAAAAGTGGCAAACCAATGCAGGGTTTGCAGCAGGCTTTGTGCTTACCTGATTTGATAAGCATGGCTCTGTACAGTCCGGTTGCTCCAGGTGGGATCCTTACCTGGTCTTCCATCCTTTCTGCCTTCCAGCCCTTTGGGGCTCCCTCTGAGTTTCCTACTGCCCTGCCGGCTCACTTAAGCCTCTGCTCCCTCCCTGTCCTTCTGCATGTTTCTAAGTCTGCACGACTTTTTGGCAGTATACGGCAAAGCCCTTTCACTTTGTGCAAAGATCTTTTCAAAGGCAGTGAGAATAAGTGGTCACGTGACGCTGCGAGCGGCTGTATAGCTGCGGCCCTCCCCTGCTGACAAGCACATTCTGCTCAGGCGAATAAAAAAACCCACCAAAAACCCCAACATTTCTCTCAGATCTGTGACATTGTGTTACTTGCTGTGCAAATGTATCAGCCCACACCTTTAAGGAGGGAGGCCTCTGAGACTCCCTTCTGATGTGGCCTATACAGTGTGAACTTTGTAAGACAAATAAATATGTGCATTCTTGCTTTCTTGGCTAAATAATCATGTTTTGTGTCCGTTTCAGGAGGATTCGCCCTGCTGCTCTCCCAGCACTATCCTGCTTTGAAAATTAGCAGCCGGGTAGCATTCTGCAAAAAAGAATGAGTGATGGAAAACGGCTTCCGAGGAGTCGCTGGAGTAGCAATTCAGACAGGAACATTTGCAGAATGACTCCTACGCTTAGAGCAGCAGCAGGCACAAAATCATAACAAGCATCAGAGTTAGCACTCAGGTTGCCAGAGTCAGAGATGGCTTTTCTTATAGAGGAGTTATTAATATCAGATGGAGTAAAATTGATAAATACTTCAGCTAGAAGAGGGAAACCTTTGGCCCCTCAACTGGCTAACAGTTCCCTTTGCATCTTGCCCTACACCACTGGAGAAATTACACTCTTTAGCTGATATTGCACCACCTGACATCCGCTGGGGAGTAGCAACCAATAGTGAAAGGACCAAGGCAGTGACATCTCCAACCCACTCCCTGTTTGGGTATCAGCCAGCATGCCAACGACTTAAATCAAGAAATAGTTTTCTAAGATCTACAAAGACACTCGCTGGAACACCTCAGCAAGCGAGAGCCCAAAGGTGGCAGGCTAAAACCCAGAACCTCAGTCAATGGCTGATACCAAATGAGGGACTCTGTCCTGGGCACACAGAAAACTGGGTAACTTGAAAGGTGCTGAACAGACTCCGCTCTGGCACCACGAGATGCACAGCCAACTTAAGAAATGGGGCTACAAAGTGGAATCCACAACATGTGAGTGTGGAGAAGAGCAAAGCACTGACCACCTACTACAATGCAGCCTGAGCCTTGTCACATGCACAATGGAGGACCTTCTTGCAGCAACACCAGAGGTACTCCAAGTGGCCAGCTACTGGTCAAAGGACATTTAATCAACTACCAAGTCTGCAAACTTTGTGTTTTGTTTGTTTGTTTGTTTTTAATGCAATACAACTGTTTTGGTTCGCTCCTGACATGATAAATAAATACCTTGCCATTGGCCACCTGATAAGTAATGCAAGCCGCAACATCTGGAAGGGTAGATGTTCCCAGTTTGCCTTGAAACCAGGCCTGCAAAACCTGTGGTTCTCCAGGCATTTGGGATTCCAACTCCCAGAAGCCCCAGCCAGCTTGTTCGATGGTCAGGAATTCTGGGAGCTGAAGTCCAAAACACCTGGAGGGCCATGGATTGTACAGGCCTGTCTTAAAGTAAATCAGAATGTACTGAAACAAATCTATTTCTCTTGCTGAGTCCAGCCACCAGTGGAATTGTTCTTGGGATGTTACACCGATGTTTCCCAACTTTTGGTCCTCCAGCTATCTTGGGGCCCTTCCGCACAGGCTATATTCCAGAATATCAAGGCAGAAAATCCCACATCATTTGAGTGTGGACACAGATAACCCAGTCCAAAGCAGATATTGTGGGGTTTTCTGCCTTATTATTCTAGGATATAGGGCTGTGTGGAAGGACTCTTGGTCTTCACTCCCAGAAGCTCCAGCTACCTTAGCCAACAGTGAGGTATTCTGGGAGATGAAGTCCTAAAGTGCAGCATAGGAGAAAGTACTTAATGGTTCATTGGCAATTACACTGTCTCTGATCAAAAAATCATGGTATTTAGGTGGGCATAACTGTTCAGCAATATGATTGATAGGAGGAGCAAAGATTCTGCTGCTATCCCACAGAATGAGGATAATGTGATCCCTCCTCCCTATGAATCCATTTTTTGTGTTCTAGTACCTGGAGCAGCAGAAAACAAGCTCATTCCATGACATTTAGACTTTAACTGCACTTCACCTGCATTGAAGATTCATATCTTCAATTGAGAATCTCCAATTGAGACATTGAGAATCATTCACATTTAGAACCCTTTATTATGTTGGTCACTTTGTCTGACTCTTTTTATGGCTAATCTGTATTTACAAAATGCTCCACTGCAGCTTTCAGTTATTGCAATGCCAGAAGCTTGGGGCTGAAGAAAAATTTCACAGAGAGGCCCCAAAATCCTTATGGGGACAAATGCATTTATTTTGATCTCACTTTATGTAGATACTTCCCAACTTCAGTTATGAAATTTCTGGCCAATATTAATGTATGAGTGAAAGTACAACCCCTGTACTTGCAAGATAGGTTTCACATACCTACATCTAAAAAAGGTGACTTTCACATACCTACATCTAAAAAAGGTAGATCTTAGATTTCGTGCTGGTTCTTAGGGAGAGATGTTTTTCATTTGTTCAAACAGATTCAGAAAAAGAAAGCTCTCCAAAGTTTTTCTCAAGAAATTCTTTTTCTGAGAGACTGTGGCCCTGTTCTGGATGCTGTCTCCTACACTACCTAGAATAATGATATTTCAAACACTCACCTGAGCCATTGAGAGCAAGTTCCCCATTTTCCTTGTGACAGGCAGATTGAAGAGAGTATTCTTTCTGAGGACAAGACAAAGAGAAAGAAATGCAGGTTACAGGTATATTGTATACAAAGTCAATGTGTTCCTGGACATAATGTTTTTTAAATCAGAAATGTTGGTATCAGAGACAGAAACAACAAGGAAAGATGACAAGTAGGACCTTGCAAGAAAGAAGAGCACTTCAAAATGTTTCAACAAACTTTTTCTTCAAAATTAACAAGATGTGAAATGAAACAATGAGACTAAGAAAGCCCTTTATAAGTAAACAAAAACATGTTGAACCTTACAGAGCAGTGGTTTTCAACCTGTGGATCCCCAGATGTTTTGGCCTTCAAATCTCAGAAATCCTAACATCTGGTAACTGCCTGGGATTTCTGGGAGTTGTGGGCCAAAACACCTGGGGACCCACAGGTTGAGAACCACTCTTCTTGAAAGCTTCTTTCAATATCTATTTTGGGATTATACTTTCTTTTGTCAGATTTCTTATAATTTGCATTTTGGTGGTCCAAAGTTGAGATTTATTGTTTTTTAGTTGTTGTGGCTACCCGATCTGCCTTCCCCTCTTTTTTCTGGTTTGTTCTTCACATATGTTCAGTAAAGGATGCTGGCGGCAGCTGCTGTTTACCTTGATGGTTGTAAATAACCACACAAAGCTACAGTAGAATTAACTAGAGTAGACTCCCACTCTTTTCCAGCCAAATTTTCATTGCCTTATGCAGATACACTGCTGCAACTGGAAACCAGAACTCTGTTTTTCCCCAGCCCTTATTTCTGATGCCAATACTGTGAAAAAGAAAAATAATAAGTCCAGCTTCATAAAGGAAAAAGGAAGAAGAGAAGGTTTGATGGCTATAAAAAAATTTTAAACAAGAGTTTTTTTTGTCAGGGACGTAACCAAGGTATGTCTATATAGTTGTCCCTCCACAATTACAGTTTCAATTTTTGCAGATTAGCTTAATCGTGGGTTTTGCCTCAAGTGTCATGCTAGAAAACCTTGAAATTCTGAGAAAGATGTCCTCTTAGGTTAAAAAAAAATAGCAATTTATTCATTTGCATTTTTTGCTATGGGGGCCCTGTGCCCCTAACAGAGAATGTGGAGGACTGACTATACTGCTTTTAAATTGGGTCCATCATTTTCAGAAATCCTGTATTATTACGTTCCTGGCACTTCTCTAAGACACAGGAGGTAGGCTATTACTTAAACCCGGCATGGGCAAACTTCAGCCCTCCAAGCATTTTGGACTTCAACTCCCACAATTCCTAACAGCTTAATGTGTGTGTTGAAGTCTAAACACCTGGAGGGCCAAAGTTTGCCCATACCTGATTTAAACAGTATGGTTCTTCTGTATTTTTGTGCTATGATCTGTGGATATTGGGGATTATAGAATCACATAGAGTAGAGAAATCACACTGGCAACGAAGATCTGAATAGTTAAAGCAATGGTATTCCCCATAGTCACCTATAGATGTGAGAGCTGGACCATAGGGAAGGCTGAGCGAAGGAAGATAGATGCTTTTGAACTGTGGTGCTGGAGGAAAGCTCTGAGAGTGCCTTGGACTGCCAGAAGATCCAACCAGTACATACTTCAGGAAATAAAGCCTGACTGCTCATTGGAGGGAAGAATAGTAGAGGCCAAGACGAAGTACTTTGACTGCATCATGAAAAGAAAGGAAAGCTTAGAGAAGACAATGATGCTGGGGAAAATGGAAGAAAAAAGGAAGAGGGGCAGACCAAGGGCAAGATGGATTCAATGGGATCCTTGAAGTGACTGGATTGACCTTGAAGGAACTGGGGGTGGTGATGGCCGACAGGGAGCTCTGGCGTGGGCTGGTCCATGAGGTCACGAGGAGTCGGAAACGACTTGACGAATGAACAACAACAACAAGAATCACATAATCCTATAGTTGGGAGGGATAACAAGCGCCATTTAATCCAGCCCCTTGACATATCCAACTAAAGTGCATTTGAAAGATGCCCACTGAACTCGGTATAAAGACCGCCAACGATGGGGTCCCCCACCCTATGTGGTAGTCTATTCCTCTACTGAACCATTCTTACAGTAATATGTTCTCCCAAATGTTTAAATGGAATGTCTTTTCTTGTAATTTGGATCCATTGATTCATGTCTTGGGAGCAGCAGAATATGAGCTGATACCATCTTCTACATGTCATCCTTTCAGGTATTTAAAAATAGCTGCCATGGCCTCACTTAACTTTTTCTTTTCCAAGACCTCTAAGTCATTCCTCATAAGACACATTTCCCAGACCTTTAATCATCTTGCTCAGTCTTCTCTGGACATGTTACAGCTTGTCAATATCCTTGAACTATGAGGCTTGGAATTGGACACAGTATTCCAGTGACCAAAGCAGAATAGAGTGGCACTAAAGCTTTCATTGGTCTTGATACTATACTCCTGTGGATGCTTTAGTTTTTGAGGATTATAACCCACTTCATCTTGGAGCAATGTCTAGTCTAGTTTTAGTAATATAAGTGTCAATGTCAGTATTATACTTCCCCCCTGTACGGCACTGATCCCATTCCTAGCTATTGCACACATATACGATTTCATGGATGCGATCCGACCCAAACTGGAGGCAAATAATAGTACTGACATTGACAATTATATTGAGTAAACATTAAGAAAATGGTTAGTGATAACACAAATGTACTGACACATGACAAGCATCTTTTATCTTTTTGCACCACAAGTTCTGTTATCGCATCATGTGTGTTAACTGCTTTACTTTTTGTCAGGAAGTTTGCATTATTGCCCATTGCTTTGTTGTTGATTTGAAAATGACTTTCCCCGGGTCTAGCAATGTCTCACAAAAAAGTATCAAAAGGGTGACAGATAGTAATTTATAGGTACTGCTATGAATTTGGAGACATTTCATGGAATCATAGAGTTGGAAGAGACCCCAAGGGCCATCCTATCCAACCCTTTTCTGCCATGCAGGAACACATAATCAAAGCACTCCCAACAGATAGCCATCCAGCTTCTGTTTTTTTTTTTAAAAAATACCCCAGAATAAGAGATTTCACCATCCTTTGAGGTGACCTATGCAACTTTCTAAAAGTTCTTATTCTTAGGCTGGACCATCACTGCCTTATATTCCAGGATCTGACCCTAGTTTATCTGCTTATTCCGGATTATCTGGCAGTGTAGACTCATATAATCCGATTCAAAGCAGACAAGCTGGGGTCAGATCCTGGGATATATAGCACAGTGTAGATCCAACCTTAGAAACATCTTCCTGATGTTTAGGTGGAATCTATTTTCCTGGAGTTTCAATCCATTGCACCATGTCCTACTGCTTGGAGCAGCCGAAAGCAAACTTAGTTTTTCTATGATTTCTATAATGTGGTTAAAATTGAAATGCTATAATTTGAACAGCTACTAATCACTGATGGGTGACTTGAGTGCTCTGTTTTCCTTTCTTATGGCCCAGATGAGAGTCCTTCTATCAGAGAATATCTTCAAAGACAGGACTGTTTTCTGTAAAGGAGGATACATGGCACTGTAACGATTTATAAAATAGATCACACATATATGTCTGGAGATGAAAATAGTCAAGATGATATAGGCCCCTTCCACACAGCTGTATAAAATCCACATTGAACTGGATTATATGCCAATGTGGACTCAGATAATCCAGTTCAAAGCAGATATTGTGGATTATCTACCTTGATATTCTGGATTATATGGCTGCGTGGAAGGGCCCATAGATACTTCAACTGAGCAGAATCCTATTAATGACTTATGGATGTCTAAGTGTGGCTTGTCTCCTTTGGGCTCCTCCCCTAAGATCTCAGCCCAGTGGTATCTTCCAACCAAGGTAGGTAGTTTCAGGAGGCCACAGAACTGTGTGGACAGATCTAGTCTACACCTGCTTGAGGAAGGATCTTAGGGGCCTTCCACACAGCCCTAAATCCCAGAATATAAAAGCAGAAAATCCCATAATATCTGCTTTGAACTGGATAATGTGGGGTTTCCTGCCTTAATATTCTGGGATATAGGGCTGCGTGGAAGGGCTCTTAGTTAAACTGGAAGGCAGTAGGAATGAGGAAGACTGCGTTACAAGTGAATTGATTTCAGTGAAGAAAGCCACAGCCCTGAGTTATAAAATGATGATGATGATGATGATGATGATGATGATGATATAATCCAGTTTAAAGCAGAAAACCTAGGATCATATCCTGGAATATAGGGCCCTAACACCACTTTAATTGCCGTGGCTGAATGTTATAAAATTGTGGGAACTGTAGTTTCACAAACTTCTTAGCTTTCTCTGCCCACAAATATCATACCATGCTCGATAAACTACAACTCCATGATTCCACAGCACTGAGTTATGGTAAAATGCACTAATTCTATGATGTTGATTCTCCCTCATTGTAGCCCTTATACAGGCAGTCCCCGAGTTACAAACACCCAACTTACGAATGATTCCTAGTTAAGAACAGGGGTGAGACAACAGGAAGTGAGCGAAATCTACCTCTAGGAAAAGAAATGTACGCCTGAAAGAGTTATAATGGGGAAAAGGGATCTCCACTGAAACTTTATCACCAATCCATGTTTCCAGAACAAGCCAAATATTTCAAAATACAATTATTACAGGGACGGAAAGTAAGGTGAAATCTTCTGAGCAGGGGCACAGACAGCAAAACAAACACCACAGAGTGTTAACCCTTTCCTGTGCTAGCCAAAGTTTATATCTATATCTATCTCTACATCTATCTCTACATCTATCTATCTATCTATCTATCTATCTATCTATCTATCTATCTATCTACCTACCTACCTACCTACCTACCTACCTACCTACCTACCTATCTATCTATCTATCTATCTATCTATCTATCTATCTATCTATCTATCTATCTATCTATCTATCTATCTGTCTATCCATCTCGCTATCTATATCTCTATCTATCTATCTATCTATCTATCTATCTATCTATCTATCTATCTATCTAGATACATTGATACATGCATACATACATAGATATAGATATT